CAAGAGTGAGACTCTGTTTCCAAAAAAAAAAAAAAAAAGGCTGGGCATAGTGGCTCATGCCTATAATCCCAGCACTCTGGGAGGCCAAGGTGGGTGGATCACCTGAGATCAGGAGTTCGAGACCAGCCTCACCAACATAGTGAAACAACATCTCTACTAAAACTACAAAAAATGAGCTGGGCATGGTGTTGGGTGCCTATAATCCCAGCTACTCAGGAGACTGAGGCAGGAATATCACTTGAACCCAGGAGGCAGAGGTTGGAGTGAGCTGAGATCGTGCCATTGCACTTCAGCCTGGGCAACAAGAGCGAAACTCCATCTCAATAAATAAATAAATAAATAAAATAAAAATAAAAGGGCTGGGTGTGGTGGCTCACACCTGTAATCCCAACACTTTGGGAGGCTGAGGTAGGCAGATCACGAGGTCAGGAGTTCAAGACCAGCCTGACCTTGAGGTGAAACATGGTGAAACCCCGTCTCTACAAAAAATACAAAAATTTGCCAGGCGTGGTGGCAGGAACCTGTAATCCCAGCTACTCAGGAGGCTGAGGCAGGAGAATGGCTTGAACCCGGGAGGCAGAGGTTGCCCTGAGCGGAGATCGCGCCATTGCACTCCAGCCTGGGTGACAGAGCGAGACTCCATCTCAATAAATAAATAAATAAAATTAAAAAAATAAAAAATAAATAGAAATAAAATAAAGTTTGAAGGTGACAATCTCTCCTTTATATGTTAAGACTTCTCTGACTGCCGTGTGCTGGTGTCCAAACAGGAGGTATCTCAGAGTCCAATCCTCCTGCTTGCGCCAAGTCATGTGCCCCACTCCTAGGCTCAAGCCATCCTCTCTCCTCAGCCTCCCAAGTAGCTAGCACTACAGGCACATGCTATTGTGCCTGGCTAATATTTTAATTTTTTGTAGAGACAGGGTCTCCCTGTGCTGCCCAGGCTGGTCTTGAGCTCCTAGGCTCAAGTGATCCTCCTGTCTCGGCCTCCCAAAGTGCTGGGATTACATGTGTGAGCCACCATGCTCAGCTAATAGTACGGATTTTGTGGGATCCTTGTGAGCATTCAATGAGAAGACGCTGGACTGTCCTGGAGCTACGTCTGGAGGGGCAGCTAACAGTGGGGCTGTGCCTGTACCTCGCCCCTTCTTGGCTGAGAGCAACTGGAGGAACGGCACCCGCCACACCTGCTACTGTCTCCCCAGACTCCGTGGCTCAGCTGTGAGCTGTGAGGGCCCCCTGGATTCTTGGATTTTCTCCACATTGTTACTGCTCAAATAGCTGGCCTTGCTGCTGGCAGAGAACAGACAGGGGATGAGGAGCTGATATTTGAGGAGGTAAATTTAAGCAGCAGGCTTACAATACGTTTTATGAGCTTGGCAGGTATAGCTGAAGTGGGTGCTATCAGTAAATACAGCAATGGCATTGATCACTCTGGGCGAATAGCCTCGAGGGGCTTACAAAGCCTTGAAATGTTCCAACGAGGTCTCCATTTGGAGCCTACATACTGCAGTATGCTGAATCTGGGGTCAAAAGATCTGCCATTCAGCCGGGCTGGTGGTGCACGGAAGATCGCCCGCCTCCAGCAGAAGCTATAATCCCAGCACTTTGGTAGGCTGAGGCCAGAGGATCCCTTGAGCCCAGGAGTTTGAGACCAGACTGGGCAACATAGTGAGATCCAGTCTCTACAAAAAGATAAATTAGCTGGGCTTGGTAGCACATGCCTGTAATCCCAGCTATTGGAGAGGCTGAGGTGGGAGGATCACTTGAGTCTGGGAGGTCAACACTGCAGTGAGCTGTGATTGTGCCATTGTACTCCAGCCTGGGTGACAGAGCGAGACCCTGTCTCAAAAGAAAATCAAAAAGACCTTCCTCTCATTAGCTGTATGACCATGGCCACGTTAATTAATGGAGCCCACTGTTTCCTTATCAACTGTTTCCCAAGCCCCTCAAGATTGTGTTGGCAAGAAGAAAATGCAACAGTAGACCAGGCATGGGGGCTCATGCCTATAATCCCAGCGCTTTGGGAAGCTGAGGCAGGCAGACCACTTGGGGTCAGGAGTTCGAGACCAGCCTGGCCAACATGGTGAAATTCAATCTCTACTAAAAACAGAGGTGGAGGGTGCAGTGAGCAGAGATCACGCCACTGCACTCCAACCTAGGCAAAAAGAGTGAGACTCCATCTCAAAACATAAAAAAGAAAACAGACAAATAAGAAGGGAAGGAAGGAAGGAAGGAAGAAAAAGAAAGAAAGAGAAAAAAAGAAAGAAAGAGAGAAAGAAAGAAAGACAAGAAAGAGAGAAAGAGAGAAAGAGAGAAAGAAAGAAAGAAAGAAAGAAAGAGAGAAAGAGAGAGACAATGGCCAGGAGAAGCTTTGTAAGTGATGAAGTGCTGAGCTTCTGCGAGGAGATGGTGATGATGATGTAGTATGAGTTCTAGAATCAGAGGCTGGGTGATTTCTGGCAAGTTGCCTAACCTCTCTGAGCCTCTTATCTGTAAGATGAAGATAAAAGCAGTATCAGTCTTATTAAGAAGATTACATGTGGTATATTGAGTTGAATAGTGTTCCCCAAAATTTATATCCACCTGGAACCCTGGGAAAATGACCTTATTTGGAACTAGGGCCTTTGCAGAGGTATGCAGAGGTCATACTGGATTAGCGTAGGCCTTAAGTCCAATATGACTGGTGTACTTCTAAGAAGAGGGAGATTTGGACACAGAGACATAGATACACAGAGAAAACACCATGTGCAGATGGAAAAAGACTGCTGTGACATGCCCATAAGCCGAGGTGCACTGAAGACCACCCGCCTCCAGCAGAAGCTGGAAAAGGAAAAGAAGGATTCTCTCCTAGGCCTTCAGGAGGAGTGTGGCCCCGCCAACACCTTGAGTTTGGATTTCTCGCCTCTAGAGCTGCTAGGCTCAAGTGATCCTCTCACCTCAGCCTCCGGAATAGCTGGGACTACAGGCATATACCACCATGCCAGGCTAATCTTTATTTTTGGTAGAGACAGGTCTCACTCTGTCATGTAGTCTGGAGTGCAGTGGTGGGAACAAGACTCACTGCAGCCTCGAACTCCTGGGCTCAAGCCATCCTCCCACCTCAGCCTCCCAAAGTGCTGGGACTACAGGCATGAGCCACCTTGCCCACACAGATTATTTTTTTTTTAACTTCTGGAATTCTGAGGTCAGCAAAGTGTTGTCATGGTCCTCAGCTATCTCTTACCTATAATAGCACCCCTACCTGACCATGTACCAGTAGAGATAAGAAGGTTGACCTTTATACTTTCCCCAGGCCTACAAGAAACTGTGTGTGTGTGTGTGGGGGGGGGCATTAGTCTTCAGCACTTAGGAAAGATTGCCAGCAAATGGGCACAGAGGATTGTAGGATGAAAGTTCACCTTTGAGTCTCGAAATCACTGCCTCCTAATTCAAGTCCTTGTTATAGGTTGGGGCAGAAGATGGACTAAGAAACTCTTCCCTATTCTGGTCTCCGTGGTGGTAACTGTAGCTAAAGCAGCAGAGAGTTTTACCTGGTTTCCTTTTTTGCTTCCTGTCCCTGCGCAAAGCTACAGCCAGAGACAGAACATCCCTTTGCAAGGTCTAGTCATTCTACTCCAGGAAGTCCTCTTGGCCTGAGGCCCAGCCACCTGTCTTCACTCTCCCTATGTTTCCCCAGCTTCTACCTGGGCCTCAATCTCCCAGGCCACTCTCCTTGTCATACCCAATGGCCAGCCCAGTCTTTTCCCAGGCTTTGGGTTATTTATCTGTGACCCCGTGGTCCTCCTTTTTTTTTTTTTTTTTTTTTATACAGTGGCTTGCTGTGTCACTGAGGGTAGAGTGTCCTGCTGTAATCTTTGCTCACTGCAGCCTCGAACTTCTGGTTCAAGTGATCCTCCTGCCTCAGCCTCCTGAGTAGCTGGGACTATAGGTGTGTGCTACCA